AGCTGGGTGATGCTCACCTGCCCCTGCACCTGCCCTCTTCTCACCTGTGCCTCCCTGCACACCTGAGCTGCAGGGGAGGAGCGGGGACGTCTGGGGGGGTGGCTGCTGCTGCGGGCTCCTCCTTGCTCCTGTTTTGCTCTGAAAGCCTGGGATTTGGGACTGTATTTATATCTAAATGGAATTTCCCAAGTGTCCCACATGCAAGTGAGGTGACGCTCTGGTGGCTGTCCTCTCACCGGGAGAGCTGCTGGGTGGGTACCTGGTGTGGAGCACTTCTCCTCCACAGGCTCCCCTTGCCCTTTGGCATCAGTGCCGTGGCGTTGGAGATGCAGCTTTCTGGGAGCTGTTCTCTGCAATTTGCAAATTATTGAATCAGCTCAGAAGCGGCTGCCCGAGGCTCCTGGCTGGGGTTTGGCAGGAATAGGATCAGACGAGCCTTCTGGTCTGAAAATGTCTGCAAGTGCCTTGGCTGATTTACCCAGAACTGCAGGAAATTGCCACTTTCTCTGTTCCTGCAGAGCAGGCAGCACATTTTGTAAAAGATAAAAACTTCTTTTCACCATTACTTGCATACCGAGCCTCTCTGTCCTGTCCTGGCCAGGCCCAGTGGGAAGCCCTGGGCCAGTTGGAAAGATTCCAGTGTCTGTGGAGGTGCAGGCAAAGCAGAGTCAGCTCCTTGCTGGCCCCCTCCCCAGCAGGACGGGCACTGTGTGGGGCAGCAGGGACCCCGTGGCCAGTGCAGGCAGCTGGGTCCCGCCTGCTCACGTGTGGGACACTCTGAACTGTTCAGCAATGTTCATTTGCTGTTTGGAGGGGCAGTTAAAGCCACCCCACTGGCAGTTAAATGCCACCTTTCCCTGAGCAGGGCTGTGGTCCTGCTCCGAGGACAGTGCCCGGGGACGCTGCGTGTGTGCAGGTGCAGGCTGGCAGTTTGCAAATATGTAATTTATTGCAAGAAATGTAGATGAGAAAATGCTGCACTTTTTTTTGCTGACTCTCAGGCTTTGATGTGAGAAGGCAACACTGCTGAATAGGGCTAAGCTGAGCCAGGACATAACGAGGTAAATCAGTTTCTAGGGAAGGTGTTCCATAGCAGGGGCTCTGCCCGAGGGTCTGGCTCTGCAGCACTGAGTGCTTGGGCTGCTCCCCATGTCTGGGGGGCGTTCTGAGCCCCACAACTGTCTGACATCAGTGGGAGCCTGCAGCAGTGCATGTCCTCTGCTGCTGTCCTCCGTGGGATGAGTGATGATGCAGCGAGATCGTGCCTGCCTGGCATCCTGGGATTGGGTGGAGAGCTGCTCAAAGTCAGGGCAAGGTTCTTCATCCAGGCACTCACTGCAGATTTCCAGGTGTAAACTCACAGCAAGGTGCCCTTGTCTGTGTTGCAAAAACGCAGTTTTGGTTGAGGTTATTTTTTTTTTTCCAATTTGTGAGCAGCTGGCAGGGGCCCCTGGCCATGCTGCTCTGCATGGTGTGTCAGCAGGTGCTTGTGTCCCAGGAGCCAGGGCTTGGTCCCAGTTGTGTGGGGGACGGAGAGGAGCCCCCCCAGATGGAGGACAGGCAGCCTGTGCCCCACTCCCACTGCCTGCCGTGGGCAGGGCTGGGCCTGGCTAGGGGGAGGATGGAAAGGGACATGGAAGCACAGTCCCCCCTGGAAACTTAGGAGACCAGGCGTGGAATATTAAACAAACTAAAAAGGAAGCAGCTGGCAAGGTGATGCCCATCAAGGATAAAAAATGAGGAGTCCAAAAATAGAGGCTGTTAATTTACAGGAGAGTCATTGCTGACCTTCTCAAGGATGAGGCATCTGACAGGCAGAACTTGTTGCTGCAGGAGTTTGGTACCTCCTTAGGCCAGGTTTGATCTGTGGAATGAAGCATAGGGGTAACCTGGGGTGCTCCCATCCCATTTCATATCTTGACAGAGGTAGAGCCAGCCACATTGGAGTGTTTCACCATGTCAGGTAATGTGCTGGCATCTCCCCTCCCCACCTGTGATTTATCTAAATGTACTCTGTTGATTTAGAACCTGTCTGGGAAGCAAATCAGATGGACAAAATGAGGAGGTGGGATGCATTAGGGTTTTTTCCTTAGGCTTTGGCTTGAGAGAGCGTGAGAGAAGTGTGCCCTTGGAGTCAGGGTCTGGAGGGGAACACTCAGGGGTCCAGGCAGCCTTGGCTCTGTGCTGAACAGGACTTTTAATCAGAATTTCAGTATGTCCGTGGGGTTTACCAAATACAGGATATTAATTTGAAGGTGCTTTAGGACTGTGATGAGGGATGCTTTAAAGAGAGAGACCTCACCTGCCCTTGCGGTGTTGGGAGCTCACTGGTGTCCATGGTTGCCCCCAAAATGGGAGGAAAAACCCCCATTTTCTCCCTCTCTGGAAGGAGCCAGGAGAGCAGCCCTTGGCAGGTGGGCTTTGCCTCCCTTGGAGCTGGGAACAGGTCCCCCAGCTCAGTCCTGGGGTGGCTGGGGTGATCTCAGTCTCCCTTCGGAAACCCTGCAGCCGGCCCTGCCGTAACCGCATTAAGGTATTTCCTTAATTAGATTTACTAAGTATGCAGGATTCTAATTCTCTCTTTTTCCTTCTCTCTTAATTTGCCTAATGAGAAAAACAAAGAAATGAAATTACAAAAGCGATGCCCGCGTTTCCTTCTGGAGAGGCTGGTGTGCGGCGCGCGGCTCCGGAGGATGCTCTGGCCCGTGCTGGGCCTGGCCTGGCCCTGGCAGGGTGGATGTGGGCACCAGGGGCAGGCAGAGCCCCCTGCTAGCTGCGCCCCCTTAGGGAGCAGACACAGCGCTGTGACCTTTGGCTGTCCATGCTGGAGCTGAGCATCTCCTGTGGTGCCAGGGAGAGGCGAGTGCGTGGGGAGCTGCCGGGTGCCCCCAGCGCCCATCCTCTCTGTCCTGGGCACCTGCCACCTCTGCTGTGCCTCAGGCTGTGCACAGACCGGCACCCTCGGTGTCAGCTGGGTCACCCAGCGGGGCTGCAGAGCCCCCGTGCACAGACAAAGATGTGCTAACCTGCCCCCTGATTATTTATCATCCCCCGAGGGCAGTTTGGGAAGTGGGTGCCGGCCCTTGACCCCGGTGCTGATGGCAGGCTGAATCACCGGCGTCTGTGGCTGGACTTCACCACAACAGATTCTCAGCGCAGAGGCCCGTTCCAAGCAGTCCTTGGGGATGGGCTTGTTTTGCTCTCCCGGAACTGCAGGAGCAGTTCCAGCAGTTTGGCCCCAAAGAAGCAGCCAGCATGTGACAGAGGAACATGTTGTTAAGTTGGGTGATTTTATAATACTTAGAATATGATGCTATGGCAACCCACTACAAATCCCAGATCAAATCAAATTATTTGTGCGCATCCCTGTAACTTTAATCTTTTCAAAGTCGTATCTGTTTTATGCCTTTGAGGCCACTGTGCAGCTGAGTGCAATCAGGCAGAGCTCAGGGTTCAAAGCAAGGAGAGCAGAGGATGAGTGGCTTGCTCCAGATCAGGCTGTGCTTTAGTGTCCTAGAAAGTCAAAGAGCAAACAAGGAAAATCTGTCGTCCTTGGCATTTTTCAGCAGTAGAGACACAGTGAGGTTGTGGAGAGCAGAGAGGGAAGGAGCTTGGTAAACAGTATGGGTGGGCAGGACAGGAATTCCACTGTTGCCCCACATTGCTCCAATTAATTTATTGCATTGAAAAACTGGAAGATTTTCAAGCCAGGAGCTCAAATGAGGTGTAACGATGTAAATTTAACCTGCTCTGATATGAAAAAGAGAGAAAGAAGATTTACTTTGGTTTAGTGTAATGTGAAGCACCAGTTCTTGGTCTGGATTCACGTTTGGACACAATGCAGTGGTGTTTCCCCCAGTGCCTGTGGCTAAGCCCACGTGGCTGGCACAGCCCAGGTGGTGCCCTGACTGCCCTGGCAGTGAGCAGGATGGTGCTGCTGGTCCCACTCTGCCTTTCCAGCATCCCTGCTGCCTGCCCCCCTCATGCCCTCAGCAGCTCCGTGGGGCAGGGCCCTGCTGGGGGGGGCTGCTGGCACCTGCAGGTTGTCACCTGCTGTCACAAACAGCGGGGCTTGGGAGGGCAGGGCCCGGGGTGCCGAGGGCAGTGTCTCAGAAGGCGGTGGTGGCAGAGTGGTGGCAGAGGCGGGGTGCAGCCCGTGGCAGGGCTGTGTGTTTTGGAGGCCTGGCAGGCACGGTGCCCGCGGCGCCATCCCGGGGCGCGCTGCCATGGGAACAAACCTCGTTACCACCAGATAAACAGTTGGACGTTTTGGCCCGGTTTCTGCAGGACTAACCTGGCAGGGACAAGAGGAAACTAAATTAAATCTCAGATTTTCTGCCTCCCGGAGGAGCATCTGGCAGTGCCGCTGAGTGGTGGCGTGGCTGCCTGCCCGGGAGCCGCAGGGATGGGAGTTTTGTTCAGGGGAGGGCTGAGGCCGTGCTTCTCCAAAGCTTAGGGGATTTCTGGGGGGATGTCTTGACAGCTCCGTGGCACAGGGGCTGCTTTCAGCTTTCCTGGGGTCTTGTATCTTCACGATGGCTCCTGGTACTTCCAAATCCGGTGCCAGGTGCCGTGTTGGCAAAGGGAGCTCAGTTTGGTCCCTCCAAAGCCGTGCTGGGTGTCCCTGGGTGTCACTGAGCCTCCTTTGCTGCCAGAAGGCTGCTGAGCCGCAGGTCCTGCCCGGGTGGGGAGGGTGCCAGAGGGAGGGGAGCCGTGGGATGGCTGGTTCCTGCCACAGGAACCCAGCCCTGCTGTGCCCTGCTGTGCCCTGCTGCACCACCAGCACCACACACGGGGACTGGCAGCCCACCCTGGGCACGGGCTCTCTGGCGACTTTTATCACCTTCTCACACTGTCTGCTGGGTTTTTTCTCAGATTGCAGATATTACCGCACGGGCAGCTGTACACCACGGCTTTGCCAAGGGAGATAACCCTTATCTCCTGCCTGGGGCGCTGCCTCGGGCAGGGGGGAGCTGACATGCCTGTCTCTGGTTTTCCAGGAAACAGGAGCTGCTGAACAGCACGGATGTGACGGTCCCGGAGCGGCCGCTGTCCCCGCCGCTGACAGCTCCCCCGACCATGAAGGTGAGAGGTGTGGAGAGCCGGGCTGGTGGGGAGCGGCGCTTCCAACGCAGCGGCTGCACGGGCTGGGGCTGTTCCCAGCGGAGCAGCAGTAGGTGGTTTCTGGAGCTCAGCCGGCAGCCTGTTCCGACGCCATCCCCCTCCCCGCCCGCGGTGGCGGCCGTGCTGCCGGCCCGTCCCGCACCGACCCTCCCGTTACACAGCGCGGCTCGGTGCCGGGGCTGCTGCCGTCCCAGCGACCCTCCCAGCCCCGTGATGGGGCCTCTGTGTGCTGGGTGCCTCTGTGTGCTTCCCTCCCAGCGACCCTCCCAGCCCCGTGATGGGTGCCTCTGTGTGCTTCCCAGTGTGTTTCCCAGCGACCCTCCTAGCCCCCCGTGCTGGGTGTCTCTCAGTGCCGGGTGTCTCTCGGTGTGTTTCCCTGCCCGTTCCCGAGCCGGGTGTCTCTCGGTGCCCGTGTGGGGCAGGCGCTGTGCCCGTCACGGGCCGGGCATCCCGGGCTGTGCCTCCCAGCAGGCACCTGCCTGTCCCCTGCGAGCCCCACCTGCTCCCTGCCCGGCCTGTTCCGGGCTCTTCGCCTGCCGGGAGCCACCCCTTAAAACAGCGAGACAGCTGCCGTGCTGTGCCTCTGGCTGGAGGAACTCCAGCAGAGGGGCTGGGGCTCCTGCTGGGTGCCCTGAGAGCTCTGGCTGCGGGGCTGGTGCAGGGCAGCGGTGCCACGAGGGTAACAGATTCCTTCCAGGGCTGCGACATGGGGGGACAGTGCTGGGGAGGTGCACAGCCCTGCTCACTGCCTTCCACTCTGCTCCTCCTGGTGCAGGGGTTTCTTTCTGTCCTTTCCTTTGTGGCCCAGGAAAGCTGGCTCTGTGTCCCCAGCTCTCCTGAAGGGCTGTGCTCTGCTCAGTGTGGCATTTTCTGTGGGACTCACTGTAGCAGCTGGGTCTGGTGCCCCTGTGGGGTCAGCTCTTGGCTCTGGCTGCTGGTAGAGCAGGACCTGAAATGACCCAACAGCATTTGTACCTGGAGATAAACAGAATCCAAAGCAAGCTCAAACTAAGGAAGACTTTTAAAAGAGTATTCAGGTGTGGGCACAGAGCTGTCTGAGCCTGGGGTTTTTCCTTTTTGACTGCCACAGGTGTGTCAGGGAAGGAGGGGCATGGTCTAAAGCTGGAAACAGCCAGGGTTGTGTCCGAGCCACAGCTGCCCCACCTGTGCTGGCAGCCAGACTGCTCCTGCTGTAAATCCGACCTTTGCTCACCACAAGTATCAAAGGAAAAAAATTCTCTCAGACTTTTCTTTTCCTTTCTTCATCCCCTCCTCTGTTTTTATCCTTTATTTTTTCGTCTTTTGGGAAATCCAGTCTATTCTAAGCCCTCACTAAAAATCATCCCCCTTGCCTTTCCCCTTGTTACCATGAGCCCTGTTTTTGGCCCCGGATCACGCATGTCTCTCCCGCAAGGCGCTTCTGGCACCCGGTGGGGCGGGAGCTGCTGGCTCCGCTTCTCACCCGCGCTGGGGCTGGCGGCGCTGCCGTGGCCCGGGCCCGGTGAAAGCAGGGCAAAAACCAAACCAAAACAAACAAACAAACAAAAAAAAAAAAACAAAACCAAAACCAAAACCCAAAAATTTTAAAAAGGAGGGTGAAAGGAGGCGGGGCGGGGCGGCACGCCTCCAGAAAAGCTCACCGGGAGTGCCCGTTCCAGATTACAGCCGCAGTTGGGCCGGGTGGTTCATTTGTGCACCTGGCAGCAGAACAGCCGGGAGAGGGGTCGGGGCTGCCCAGCACGCCCAGCTCCTGCGGGTGCCGGGCCGGAGGGGCCCCGAGCAGCTCCAGGACGGGCCCCGCTGGCCGCACAGGTAGATCCGGCTGGGAACAGCCTCACCTGAAGTCCCGGGCCGGGCAGAGCCGCTGGGCCATCAGCGGGTCTGGCAGCGCTCCCCGAGAGGCGGTGGGGCCGCGCTTGTCGCTGAGCCCCCTGTCCGTGTGGCCCGGGGACAGGGACACTCACCGTGCGGCTCCTGGCCTGGCCTGGGCGGGCAGCAGAAACAGGGACAGCTCGGTAATCTCTTCAGCTCCTGGGGCAAGGGGGATTAACCCTGCTCGGGGCAGCCCAGCAGCGCAGGCAGCAGCTTCACCAGGGCTGCTGCGACTAGGAAAGGAAACGATTCCAGGTCCCTGATCAAACGGGCTCAGAGCTCGGCATTTCTGGAGCTCGAGGGCTTCTGGCAAGGGCAGCTGCAGCAATGGTGCTGAGCTCCAGGTGGGGCTGCATGGGAATCCCGGTGCCACAGCTGCCTGGTCGCATTCAGGGAGCAGGACAAGTGCTCGGGGTGGGGCTCCAGTGTCCCTGCTGTGATGTGGCTTGGACTGGCTTGCCTTGTGTCTGCTTTTATCGAACAGTAGATTTCCTTCTTTTCTTTTCAGTCGGCAGAATTCTTCGAAATGCTGGAAAAAATGCAGGTGAGCAGCAGTGTGCATGCCAGTAACTCGGGATGTTGGCCCCAGCAGAGCCCCTGAGGGCAGAGGGCCTGTCCCAGGAGCAGACCTCACCTTCCAGCCACTTGGGCTGGAGTGATCTCCTTGTAGCAAAATACCCTCATGTTGGTGGACTGACCCCCTGTGTGGGTAAAAGCATCTAAATTGTTTGACACATTCATTTTGTTCCTAACAGGCACCAAAACTGGAAGAACAGAGGTCTGGAAGCCAAAAACACAAGGTTGGTTGATTTTTGTTTCTTGAGGGGATCTCTTCAAGTGTCCACTCCCCATCTCAGAGGTTTAATGTGGTCGTCCAAGACAGTCACTCAAAGGGCTGGAAAGGATTTAGATGTTATCTAAACAGGGCACTGATTGAATTGCAGAGATGGGAGCATGGTGCCTGTAAATCCCTAATCCAGCTTTATGTCCAGAGCACTTCAGCTTCCAGCTGTGCAAAAGGGTTGGGGTTTGCCACTGCACTGGGAAGTTGCACCATAGAGGAGCTCCCTTTAGGCAGGGCTTAGCCTGCATTGGTGCCTTCTGAGAGGGACCAGCAGGTGCTGGAGGCACTCCCTGGGCTGGGTGGGCAGGGCTGGGGTTTTAAGGGACAGCTGGTGGGGAGCAGATGGTCACAGGTGATGTTTTGGTTCCTTTTTCCAGGAAGACTACATCCCATACCCCAGCATCGATGAGGTGGGTGCCCTGAACCCCCTGAACACCTTCTGGGGAAAGCCTTTCCAAAACTGCTGGTGGCAGAGGAATTGGTGGAGATTGTTTCTGAGAGGAGCTACACAAAGCCTGTCCCCCCTCCCCACCTTTGTGGCTTTTGGCTTTTCCTGAGTAGCATGAGCCCTCTTCTGTGACAGAGGTTTCAGAGAGGGGCTGGACTTGTCCCTGCTGGTGCTGGGGTCTGCTGCAGTAGGGGGGCAGACCATGGAGCAGTGAGCTCTGCCTCCCACACCCCCAGCCCTGTCCTGCCTGGCCCCTCATGGCACGTGTCTCTGCAGATCCTGGAGAAGGGCAGCCCATACCCGCTGATCATCCTGCCCCAGTTTGGGGGGTACTGGATAGAAGACCCAGAAAACCTTGGCACGCCCACCTCGTCTGACAGCAGCATCTGTGAGGAGGAGGAGGAAAACCTCAGCCCCAGCAGCTATGGCTACAAGCTGGAGTGCAAGGGAGAGGCCAGAGCCTACCGCAAGCATTTCCTGGGGAAGGTGGGTTCCTCCACCCCACGGGGCTCACAGCTGCCCACCTCTGACTGAGAAAACTCTCCAGCTGAGAGCAAAATGGGCAAGCTTTACAATTTCCCTCTTTGCAGGGAGTGGAGGCACTGGTGGGTTCCCAGCATGGCAGGGTGGCCACACATGTGGCCTTTGTCCCTGGCCCCACAGGTCTCCTGTGACACCAGTGGGGACACTGGCTCTGAGCCTCCTGCCCTGGGGTCCTGGGGCTCAGCCAGACATGGGGGCCTGTGTGGCAGCCCCTGCCCTCCTGCTCCCAGCCCTGCTCCTGGCAAGGGGGTGCGGGTGTGTGGGTGGTGGGAGGGTGCTGGGGTAGCAGGGGAGTGTCCAGGCAGTGTCCTTGCCACCAGTGAATTGCTTCCCAGCTGCTAACGTGCTGTTTTCTATTTTTAGGATCATTTAAATTTCTACTGTACAGCTAGCAGCCTTGGAAATCTGATCCTTTCTGTTAAATGTGAGGAGGCAGATGGCACAGAATATTTAAGGGTTATACTCAGGTATGGAAAAAAAATATCTTTGTTTAACAAAATATTATCTGTTTGGGAGTCGCTGGTTCTGTTTCTACAAGTGCTTGAGCTGGACTGGCAGCATGTGGAGGGGGTCTGGGTGGATGGGAGGCAGTGGCAGCATCCTGTGTTTCTGTGCTGGGACTGCCTAAACCTGATAATGAACGTGAGACTTTGATCTGTCACTAAACCTGCTGGAACTGAACATAAACCTCTGTGGCTTTAATCCTCCCTGGGATAACACCAGCCACTTCTCTCACCATCCCTCCCTAAGCTGACAGGACCCAGCATGTCTGAACCATTGTGTCATTTCCCTCAAACTATGAATATTTTAAGGGATGAGAAGACAAATCAAGCCTTTGCTCACTAACCAGGCCCAGCAAATGCAGCACAGCTGTGTTTCCCAGCAGTGGGTGTTGCTTTGCTGTAGCCACTCTGACATCTGTCTGCTCCTTGTTTCTTTGCTAGGTCCAAAGTGAAGACGTTGCATGAAAGGATTCCCCTGGCAGGATTCAGCAAGCTCCCGAGCATCCCCCAGATTGCAAAGGTGAATTGCCTGGCTTGGTGGAGCTCTGCAGCACAGCCTGTGCCAGGGCACATCAGGCAGTGCTGGGCTGTGTTGGGCAGCAGTGCTGGGCTCTCAGGCCAAGGGGCACTTGGGTGCTGCTGTGTGCTTGCCCTGCTGGTGGTTTCTCCAGGCCAGGAGAGCAAATGGCCCTCGTTTGACACGGAGGGACCTGGGGCTTGGCTTGCTGCATCCTCAGTGGGGCCAGCCAGCCCACGGGGCATCCCATGGTGGATGTAGAGTGGAGTGGGGAGCTCCTGCTACTGGAGGCTGTATTTGGCTTCTTTATAAGACATTCATGGCTGACGTTGTGGCCAGGGACTGTCACTGACTGCTCTTTCCCCTTGCCCACAGGCCTTCTGTGACGATGCCTCTGGGCTGAAGTTTAACCCTGTTCTCTACCCCAAGGTGAGGTGACTTGCCCAGGTTGGTCGTGTGTTCTGCAGGGACTCTGAGAACCACACCCAGGGCCACTGTGGAAAACTTTTAGCCTGATTATGCGGGAATTTGGCTTCTTTCCCCCTTCCACTCCCCTGATGGTGCCCAGCTGTTGTTGGACCCTGCTGCAGCTCTGCTGGGCTCTCCTCACCCCTCACCATGGATCTTTTGGCCATCACATTTTGAACCACCAGATGAAACAATTGGTATTTTGCTTTCCTGCAGGCATCCCAGATGATAGTGTCTTATGATGAGCATGAGGTCAACAACACATTCAAGTTTGGTGTGATCTATCAGAAGTTCAGGCAGGTGAGTTGTCCCTATGCTGCTTTCATGGAGCGTGTCCCTGTGCACCAGAGATCCACGTTTCATGAGCACAGGCTCGACTCTGGCCTCGGTTCTGCCATGTGCAGCACCTGGTGTCACTGGATGCCCTCCTGACTGTGTTTCTCATTGCTCGGATGTTTTCCCCACTCATTAAAAAATGATATGACTGAAGAGTCTCGGTGTGGAAATCAGCCCACAAGCTGCTGTACGGAAAAGCGGATGTGAAAATGGATTTTAGCAGGCGTGGTATTTTAATCAGATATATGTTTAGACAGCTATAACAGCTCCGCTTGTCTGGAGGGACTGTGGGCTCTGAAGAGAGGCGCTTGCTGAAAATGCTGTCATTAGCAGGGGGACTCTGCATGGGGAGTGCAGAACTCAGCCTCAGAACCCACTGAGAATTACTCTGACAGGCACTCTATATATTGCATTTTGGCTTGGATTGAGTGACTCATGCAAGGCCATAATTAAGGTCTCATTGTTTTGAAATACAGCAAGCAGGAGATGATTAGGGATTTTCAACAGAGGATTTGTTTCTGGTTTGGTATTTCCTGGATGTTATCCTAAGGTCCCTGCTGGGGCTCTCAGCAGCCTGGCCCCGGGCTGTCCTGGGCACTGGGCAGGCTGTGGCAGCCCATGGATGGTGCTGGTGGCTGGATGTGGTGCTGGGGAGCAGCCTGTGGCTGTGCAGGACACATGGAACAAGGTGCTAGTCACGGCCCAGGGACCCTGTGGATGGAGCTGGAGGTGGCAGGGGAGTGGACAGGCAGGGAAATTGGGCTGTCAGCAGATGCACCCTGTGTTTTGTAGACCCAAGAGGAGGAGCTGTTTGGCAATAATGAAGAAAGCACTGCCTTCAAGAACTTCTTAAGTTTTCTGGGAGACACCATAACTCTCCAGGACTTCAAAGGGTAAGTTAAATAAAAAGGATGATTTTACAAATACATTAACAAGAGACCATGTCATATGTAAAAATATCTCCGTGTGAGAACAGAAGTCATCTCGCTCATGAGCGGGATGTGCGGAGCAGAAGCAAATATAGTTTTGGCTTGTTTTTCAAAGCTGGGGGAGTTAAAAAAAAATTGGAGCTGCCAAGAGAGAAAAATTTCTTTTCCTGCATTTTGAGGTTGTGATAAAATCTGGCTATATTCAGCCATGGATGGAAGCAGTCTGTGGCAATGTGCTGTGCCCGGTGTCGCGGCTCAGCCACGGGTGCCTCCAGGGCAGTCCCTGCAGCAGCCACAGTGCAGGCAGGGACCCCACTGCTGGTGAGGGATGGTGGGGCCACGGCTTGTGCCCATGGCTGTGGGCAGCCCTGGCTGGCCAGCTCTGCTTTAGGTGCACCCTGTATTTCAGGCTGGTGACAGCGATGGCTGGTTACAGCACATGACGCACGGTTTGTTCTTTCCCATTTGCTCGCTGCTAGATAAAGATAAATGAGCTGGGCTGTTCCATCAGCCTGTCCCCTGACAGCCGCTGGTGCTCTCTGTGAAGCTTTCAATTAACATCTCTTCGTTTCTCTCTGCCTTTCCCTTGATCTCCAGTTTTCGAGGAGGCCTGGATGTCAGCCATGGGCAGACGGGAGTGGAGTCTGTGTACACGGTGTTCAGGGACAGGGAGATAATGTTTCATGTCTCTACAAAGCTGCCTTTTACCGAAGGAGACACACAACAAGTAAGAGAGATGTGGTTGCTTGCACAGAAGGGTCTGAGTGGGGATGCCCTGGCGCTGCCCTGCCCCGTGCTGTGGCCCTGCTGAGCCCTGGCACCCTGGCAAGTGGCTGCTTGGCTCCCCAGCACGGGGCTGGCACTTGCTGCTGCAGGAGCAGAGCTGCCTGCTTTTACTGACCCAATATTCTCCCTTTTGGTTTAGCTCCAGAGGAAGAGGCACATTGGCAATGACATCGTGGCGATTATCTTCCAAGAGGAGAACACGCCATTCGTGCCAGACATGATTGCCTCCAACTTCCTGCACGCCTACATCGTGGTGCAGGTGGAGAACCCCGAGGCAGAAAATGCAGCATACAAGGTGAGGGCAGTCCCTGTGTCACCCACCCAGTTTTGCTTCAGCATCTTTTGACAAGGGCCTGGAGTGACAGGACAAGGGGGAATGGCTTCCCACTTGTAGGGTTAGGTTAGAGATTAGGAGGAACTTCTTCCATGTGAGGGTGGTGAGGCCCTGGCACAGGTTGCCCAGGGCATTTACCCTGTGCTCAGTGATGCAATCAGTGTGGGGACTCGTGCCTGTGTGCTGGGCACACACACGTGTGCACACAGGTGTGTTATGTGTGTGCTGTGACATAATGTGTGTGTATACAGACATCAGTGCATAAAATACATGTTTGTAAAACAGCTCGTTTGTTAAAGAGTTTTGATGGTCCTCAACATTTGAATGTGCCTTGGAACAGTCTGGCATGGTGTAGGTGGCATAAACCCTGTTATCCTGCTGCTCCCATGGGAATAACCTGTCTCTTGACTCCTCAGGTGTCAGTCACAGCCCGGGAAGATGTTCCCTCCTTTGGGCCACCCCTGCCGAGCCCGCCGGTGTTCCAGAAGGTAGGGGCTGAGAGGGAACCATGTTCCAGGCTGTAAAAAGAGTAGATGTGCATGTCCAAGGTGTTTCCAAGTTGGGGAAAACAGGACTTCTGGAACGGACCTGCATTAATTTTGGTTTCCATTGCGGCCCCTGGTGTTTGTGGTAGGGTGAGTGGCCCTGCACCACTGCATGGCATTACTTGAGCAAGGTGGCAGCAGCAGCTCTGGTGCTGAGGGGCTGTGTTGGTGCAGGCGAGCACCTCAAACCCTCCTGGGGCTTTCCACCAGTGCTTCCACGTCTGGAGGGACTGCCAGGTGCTGCGAGCTTGGGTTTGGGTTGGTACAGCTGTATACCAGAGATACAGAGAGTCCTAAAGTGGTGGGTGTTTTCCTGGTTCTGTCCCCGCAGAGCCCCGAGTTCCGGGAGTTCCTGCTGACCAAGCTCATCAACGCTGAGAACGCCTGCTGCAAGTCTGACAAGTTTGCAAAGCTGGAGGTAACGCTGCCCACGTGTCCCTGCCTGGAGCAGCTCTGGGGAGTTGTCCCACTGCTCCTCCGAGCCGCCTTTCCCTGCTGAACCGGGTCAGTGCTCGCAGGGAGGGAGCGTGGTGACCGTGGGGTGGCACAGGCTGCTGCCATGGACCCGTGCCACTGCTGCTCCCTGGAGCCTGGCTGAGCCCTGGTGTGCCCTGCAGCACCAGGCACAGGCTGCTGCCATGGACCCGTGCCACTGCTGCTCCCTGGAGCCTGGCTGAGCCCTGGTCTCTCCCGCAGGACCGGACACGGGCTGCCCTGCTGGACAACCTTCACGACGAGCTGCACGGGCACACACAGGCCATGCTGGGGCTGGGGCCCGAGGAGGACAAGCTGGAGAATGGGGGACATGGAGGCTTTCTGGAGTCTTTCAAGGTAAGGCCCTGCCCTTTCCAACAGCACAGCTAAAATGCACCTGGGGTTGGCAGAGTGCGTGTTGGGGGACAAGAGATGTCCCCCGAGGGTAGGGTGGCAGGAGGAGGTGGGGGCTGCTGCCACCACTGCCTGCTCAGCCTGCCAAGTGCCCAAGCTGGCCCCAGTGGGAGCAAGCAAAAGCTGGCACGTTGCATTGTTGGTGAGTGCCCCCAGTGGAGTGACTTCTCCATAGTTCCTGAGCACCTCTCTGCCAGTGTGTGCAGCACTTTGTGTCCCCAGAGGGGTCTCAGTTCAGGCCCACTCCCATGCCATGGAGTGCGTGTTGAGGTTAAGCAGAGATGTTCTGGCACACTTGGTGCGTGCCAGCAGACAGACCATGCTCTCTTGGCGTTGCAGGGAGTGCTGGGCTGGGAGGTGAGCCCCCTGCTCCGTGCGGGGCGCCTCGGGCCCGCGCTGCTGGGCTGCCTGCTGGCTTACGTCCTGCACCGCGCGCTCTCGGAGTGACGGGGGAGCACACACGGCAAGGAGGGCTGCGGGGGCTCACACCTGGCCCCTATCCTCTGTCCTATATCTTCTTGCCCCTACGACCCAGCCTCCAGACCCATCCCCTTGGCCATCGAGCGGGGGACCAGTTCTCAGAGGCGAGCAGAGCTCAGTTCTGCTGGGCTCTGAGTGAGTGAGAGGTGCCTTTGCCTCTTCCGTGGGGAAAGGAGCCCCTCCTCAGGGCTGGGGTGTTGGGGAACCCCACAGAGTTCCACAGCCATGGACAGGAGCCTGCAGAGTGTGAGTGCCTGTGGCTGCTGCTTTGCAGCAAAGCAACTGATCATTTTTAAGAACAACATCAAATTGTATATGAATGCTGCTGACCCCAATAAATTCAGTCTGATGGACTCTTGCTTGATGTTCATTATTGCATGGGCAGGAGGGGCTGTTGGGGCTGTGGTTTTCAGCACTGCAGCCTCAGTGAGAGCTCGGGGCTGCAGCCTCCTCTCACCCTGGTGCAGATCCACCCGTGGCTCCACGACCCCAGAGCCAGCAGCAAACAGCCTGCATGCTGCAGAGGCAGTGCTGGCACCTCGGGAATTTGGCCTGCCATGGCTCATTTACTCTTTAGCCTGAGCTGGGATTCAGCCATGGCTGAGGGAATAGCTGAGAGGAGAATGGAGAAGGTTGCTGATGTGAAGAGTGAGGGAAGGGATGTGGGGAAATGAAGATCCATGGGAGCAGGGAGAGCCTGTGGCTGCCATGGGGCCAGTGCTGACAGCTCAGCTCCAGTCCCTTCCAGAGGTGGATAGACCAAACCAGAAGCCACAGCAGCAATTCAGGCTAGATGTATTCTCAAGCAGTAGCTTGCTGAAGAGCAGAAGCACTTTGATGTGGCTTTGAAGCCTCCAGCTCAGGGGCTGTTTTGGGACAGGCTGGAGAGGTGCAGGAGAGGTGCGAGAGAGGCAGGAGAGGATCTGTCCTCTCTGAGTCCAGGCAGAATTGTGGAGGGTGTGCACACAGACATGGCTTATGGCTTAGCTGTGGCCCCCACTCCTGCCGTGGGTCTGGGAGGTTGGCCAGGCAGGAGGCAGGGCTCGGGGCTTGTGTCTGTGTCTCCTGGTCCCAGAGATGGAGTCCTTGATATCACAGAGCCGTGGGGGGAAATCTGATCTTGTGATGGCTGTGGGGCTCCCCAGGGGCAGCCCATGCTCAGCTGCACTGCCAGGGCTGCTGTCACCAGTCGTGCTGCTGCTGGGGGGTGCTTGCTCTCCCTTGTGCCTGGGGAAGACCTGAAGCTGGGGAGGAGCTGTGGGGACAGCACCTGTGGGTGGTGCTGACCTGCTGTCCCCTGTGCCACAGAGAGCCATCCGCGTGCGCAGCCACTCCATGGAGACGATGGTGGGCAGCCAGAAGAAGCACCATGGCAGTGGCATCCCCGGCAGCCTCAGCGGGGGCATCGCCCACAACAGCGGCGAGGTGACCAAGACCACCTTCTCGGTGAGCACGTCCACGTGTCCCTCTGTCCCCCTGTCCCACTGTCCCTTCCTCTTCCCAGCCCTCCACAGCCCGACAGGTCGCTGCGTTCCCCCGATGCAGCTTGGCAGTCCCCTGCATGGGCAGCGAGGGTCAGGGTGAGGGGGACACCTGAGCAGGCTGTGCACTTGGATGCCTTGTTCAAGTTGGGCTCGTTTTGTGGAAGAGCCAAAGATAAGCTTCCTGGGTTTTGGCCCCAAAGTAAAAGGAATAGAAGTTCTGGCATTATGGGGTTTTTAGATGCGCAGGCAGTGCAGTTCCTGGCAGGATGTTTAGCCTCTGACGTGCCAGGAGAGAGCTGTGCTCTCAATCCAGATTGTTCTCTGCTCTCAGCCCCCTGTCCCAGCTGTTGCTGCCAAGAACCAGTCCAGGAGCCCCATCAAGCGCCGCTCAGGGCTGTTCCCCCGCCTGCACACGACATCGGAGAGCCAGGCGGAGAGCAGGACACGGTGGTAAGTTTGTGGTGGTGCCTACAGAGCTCTGCCACTCTCACAGTGTATAGTTGGTGTTAGGTGGTACAATGTGACCATCCTTTTGAAGTCTCTTGTTTCTTTGTGCCCTCAGTGACAGTGTTTCTGGAGCCCAGAAGACACCAGATTTGGGACATTCTTCCCAAGAGATGAAATCTGAAACCTCATCCAACCCCAGCTCCCCTGAAATATGCCCCAACAAAGACAGGTGAGCCTGGAGGAGCCCATCCTCCTTCCACCACAGCTCAGCAGACGTCAAGGAATCTGTCAAACAAAACCATATCTAAATAAGTTTGATATTAAGGGAGAAAAGATTCTGGTGATTCTTGAGCACAGCTCCCTTTTGGTCTTTACGAAGAAGAGCAGAGAGCAGCGTTTGGCCGAGGTTGCCCCAGTCCTCAAGACACAGGAGCTGCTGTGCCTGCTCCTCCCTGCCAAGGCGAAGCCAGCTCGGCCCAGGCTTTCCTGCTGGGCACCCACCCCGTGCCTTGTCCCACGCCTTTGGAAGTGGTTGTGTGCTGAAGCACCCCAAAAGGTCCATCCCTGCGGCAGCACTTTGCTCCGGGGGTGTGCAGGAGGCCCGTCCCCCTGTCACAGTCCAAGGGACACGCTTCCCTGGTGACAGCCACGCGCCCTTCCTTCCGTTCCGCCTCTCTCCAGGCCTTTTATCAAGCTGAAAGAGAACGGGCGCTCGAACATCTCCCGTTCCTCCTCCAGCACCAGCAGCTTCAGCAGCACGGCGGGCGAGAGCGAGACCCTGGAGGAGTACGACAGCGTGGTGGGTACCAACCCTCCCCAGGCAGGCTCCCCACTGCCCTGGGCTCCCTGCTGCCTCCAGAGCCCCGGGCTCTGAGGGGGATGTGCCTGCCAGCCCCCAGCGCTGCCTCACTGCAGCTGGGGACAGGCTGAGCCCATCTCGGGGTGTGGGGAGGAGGAGGAGGAGGGCTGGAGTGCCTGTGAGGACATCGGGGGGTTGTGGCTGCCCCATCCCTGGAGGTGTCCAAGGCCAGGCTGGACAGGGCTGGGAGCAGCCTGGACTAGTGGAGGTGTCACTGCCCATGGCAGGGAGGGTCTGATTAGGTGGTCTTTAAGGTCCCTTCCAAACCAAGAACCCAAACCTGTGATTCCGTGGCACCCCAGTGAGCCCTGGAGTGCTCTGGGCACTGCTCGCTCTGCCCAGCCAGGGGCTGCAGTGGGCAGGGGGCAGTGGGGAATTGGCAGGGTGTGGGGGAAGACCTGACTGCAGGAAAAGCCTTGTCCTGTCTCTGTGAGCAGGGAAGCCAGCCCTCCACCGCCTCCCCGTTCAAGCAGGACGTGTTTGTCTACAGCGCTTCGCCCGGCAGCGAGAGCCCCGGCGCGGCGGCCACGGCCACCCCTGTCATCATGAGCAGGAGCCCCACAGGTGGGTGACAGCCACCGGCTCTGCCTCTCGCTCCTGGAGCTGCCCCGAGCCCCTGCGCTCCTGTGGCGGTGGGCTGGGATGGAGGAGCCCCCTGCCAGCCTTGTGGGGGTCCCAGGAGCAGCAGCCGTGCTCCCCCTGGCAGGACAGGCACCACGGGGTGTGGGGCAGCCCCAACTGACTGGGCTGCTCTGCAGAGATGGCCCCACGTGCTGTAGTTCTGTACTTCCATGGGGGTTTGTTTCCCTTCCCAATTAGAGTGCAGAGGTGGCTCTTGCTGTGGCTTTGTTCCCTCTGTCTCCCCTGACAGGCGTGTGCAGTAGTCCTGGAAACTCTGTCTCCAGAGGCTGAGCCATGACACACAATTACTTCATCAACACTCAGCTTCCCGTGGTCTTGGCTCCGTTCCTCTCCTGCCAGCCTGCTCAGCAGCTCCATCCCTTTCAGTGGGACGATTTGCACAGTGAGGTGCAGCTCTAGAGGGCCAAGCAGGCAGGAAAAGCTCTGTGCTGGCCCATCCTGTGCAGGGAGAGGGGGATGGCCACAGAGAGCCTGCCACAGGGCAGCAGCCTCCACGTGGAGACACACTGTCAGCTGAGGAGCTGTTTTTGAAACAGCCAGGAAGCAACAAAATCACCCAAACAGCTCTGTGACTGGCAAAATGGGACCATGGAGTGCAGGCAGGATTTCTGTGTCTCAGCACCCCACAGGTCCTCCTCCTTCCTTCACTAGTGATTTTCTGAACCCTTAAACCAGCCCCTTTTAATGCTTGAAGTGTTTATTTTGTATTTTTCCTGCCAAGAACATGAAAATCCACCCATACATTATATGGATCAGTCATTCCTTGTAGCCTTTTCAGTGGCATTTCCAGGAGAAAGACTGTGAAATGTAATTAAGCCTCAATTTGTTCCATTGCAAACACTTAATGTACAGCTTTTGCCAAACATTCAGCCAAGGCAGACTAAATATTGGTAGCACTCCTGACAGCCTATTAAAGTGCCTAGCTGGGCAAGTGCAGCCAGTACTACAGCAAATATTTTTGTTCACAGTTTATTATTTTTGTTCTTTGTTTGTCCTCTCCCTCTAGCAGATCTGAAGAACAGGAATTCCCCGAGGTCCAACCTGAAGTTCCGCTTTGACAAGCTCAGCCACGGCAGCTCCAGCATGGTGGGTGCCAGGGCTCTCCCTGCTGGGGTGCTGAGCTGTGTCCTCCCTGCCTGGCCTGGGGCTCTGGGCTCTGGGGGTGGCCCTGGGGCCTGGGAGGGAGAAAAGGGAAGGGATTTTGTGACTTCTTGCCCCTTTGTTTGCAACTCGCCCCATGTTCTGTTCTTTCACACAGAGCCACTAGCAGGAGGGAGTCATGCACTTGTCACAGGTGAGTGTTGGCATGCTTTGTTTTGTGAAAAGGGCTGTTTGGGGGCCAGCTGTGTCCAGGCTTGTCATTGCTTGTGGGATCCATCCTGTACCTTAGAACACCTGAGTGCTGCTGTGGGTGAGGGAGGGAGAGGGCAGGGATGCATGGCAGCTCTGCACCCTGCAGTGCTGCTGTTCCTTTCTGCAGCTCCTGCTGCTGCTCCAGGGCCAGGCGCCCCAGCCCAGCAGGCTGCACTCTTCCCAGTTAACCCCTGTCACACACTGGTGCCCAGCTCCAGGTTTGCTGTGCTGTGCTCTGGGCACTGGGGTGGAAAGGCAGTGCAGGCCCTTACCCATTCCAAAAATCCAAGGGGAAATGGAAGATACACAAGATGGATTTCATGGGCAGAGGTAAAGGGAACTCAGTGGGATTTACCTGGGTTCCTTCTGTTCTGTGGCTGTCATTAGGAAGATCCAAACTGAGCAGAAGAGCCCACAGGACTTGAAATGAAAGAAAGTTACATTTCTGAAAGCATGGGTCTCAAAGAGCTGGGATTTTCACCCAGTCACTGGGTTTCCCTCTCCCACAAGCTGGGAGTGATGGTTGGCCTGGCATTTTGGGGAAGGGCACTGCTGTGGCCTCAGCTCCCTCCCTGGACAGGTGCTTCACAGCCAGCACCTCAGGGCTGGGAATATTCTCCTTCCACTCCTGACTTTTATCCTTTTCTTCTTTGCACAGAATGTTTCAACAAAGGGAAAAATTTTCAACACCCCCTGGGACCACGCACGCCCCGGCCGTGGGCAGCGAGGTGCCCTTGCTGCTACACCAGAAAAGAGCTCTCACCTTGCCACAGTCCTGTCCTGACAGGGACCAGCCAGCTTGTCACCCGGTGTCCCCTGTCCAGCACACCTCTGCTGCAGGAGGGGACGTGTCCCTGGCTGTGCTGCACGCCTGGCAGGGCCGTGTCCCCTCCTGGGGCTCTGCTGGGTCACCTGTGCTTGCCCAGATGTGCTGCAGCTGCTGGGCACCATCCATTCCCCCCGTCCCTGGGTTTCCTGGCAGCTCCTTTTGGGCAGAGGGGCAGCAGGAGGGACCTCCACATAGTTGAGGTCCCTCCATGCTTTATTTGCAGTTATCAGTGGGGAAACAGGGTTTATGTTTGTTGTTTGAAGGGTGGGGGTCAGGCCAAAGTTGGGTGTTAGTGGCTCTGGGGCAGTTTGCCCTCCACCATCGTTTGCTGTTGTTCCTCTCTGGGGACAATAGGGCAAAACCTCCCTGGGGGTCCTGGGCAGCTCTCCCTGGAGCGGGGTCTGCAGTGTCTCTCCAGCCATCCCCCAGCTCCTGCCCACACCCCAAAACCTTGGGGCAGAGGCAGCCCCTCGCTGCAAGCTTGCTCAGTTTCTTGCACAAGAGGCAGGTGAGCGACAGCTGGGGACAGCAGCCAGCTCATCCTCCTTGGCAGGTTCATCCTCCCTGCTTTGTCCCTGCCTGACACTGAGCACACGCCTGGGAAAGGTGACCCAAAGCTAAAGCTGTGCTGTATTACAGCTTTAGCTTTTCTAAGTACTAGAACTGGAACCAGAGGGGATTTACCTGGTGGGCTCTGCTTTGCCCTATGGCTTGGATCACCACGCAGGCAAATGCATAACACTGGTGATTTGTGAGGCATTAGGCTGCTGCAGCCCTAACGGAGTCTCTCCTGCTGCTTTTGAGCCAGCTCTTGTTATTCTGAAAGGATTATAGATTCTGCAAGGTAACCTTCCCATAATGCCCTTTCCCAGAAAATACCTCTCTCAACATGCCAAGAAATCCTTTTGCTCTTTTATGGAACTTCGTGTGAAGTTTCCTGAAGCCTGTCTGTAAATTTCACATTGCTCATAGATTTCCCTTTCCCATTTTCTGGAAGACAGGCCATGATGCTGCAGAGATATTCCCCCTGTCCCCCCAGCCTGTGACCTTTGGGCACCCTCATGAAATCAGGTTCTCAGTCTCAAGTGAGCACAGTTCTTCAAGTTTGTGATTCCTACTGAACACAGGACTTTGAGTGCCAAAGGCACCAGTGGATGCCCCAGGAGGCACAAAGCACCTGACAGCCTGTTTCAGGAGGCAGGGCCAGAGCTGTGCTCCTGGAGCTGCTGTGCCTGTTCCTGCTCCCCTCTCTCTGGGCAAGTGCTTCTAGGATTCACCATCACTGCCCTTCTCTGTGTCATCCCTGGCCAGAGACGAGGCAGGGCCAGCAGCACGAGCTGTGCTCCCCTGCTGCTGCAGGGAGGTGCTCCCCAAGAGCCTTACCCAGTTCACACAGGTGCTGTGCTCCTGCTGGAACCAGTCCATGAGGGAAGGCTGTAGCTGTGATGGGCTGTAGCTGTAGAGGAACCAGGTTAAAGAACAGTTGTGAAAAGGCAGGGAACAGTTTCATTAGCCCCATGTGCTGTGTAGGATTAGTAAATACCAATAACTCCCATGGGGATGCTCCCTCCTGCTCCCAGCAGTTGCATTCCAATGGAGTTTAAGCCTTGAGGTTCCTGTGGAAGAGGAGCATGCAGAGTGCTCAGCCCAGCCTGTAGCTGTAGGTGTCTCAGGATCACACACTTTGCTGTTCAGCACTGTCTGATGATGCTTCAGTAGCACTTTCAAACCCACCCCCGATTCTCCTCTTGGAAGCTTTGGTCTGATTGCCTGAGGCTGCACAGTGAAACACTGACTGGTGCAATTGCTCCCAGGGTCTGCTCTGGGTTTGCTTTTTCCTCAGAAGTCACTCGGTTCTGTAGATGTCGTCATTCCTGTGGGTGTTGATCTCCGTGAGATCTTTCAGCAGATGATGCAGTGGCTACTGTCAGCTGGTTTGCCATTTTTGGTTGTTTTGTTGCCTTTTTTTAATATTTTTTTTCACTTGAAACTGTGTCTTTCCTTTTTGACCTGGGTTGATTTGGGAATTATTCGAGTGGGACTAACAGGCAGAGCAGTGTGAAGCCTCGGGGAGGGTTGCAGTGCTCTGGGCTGGTCTCTCCTCACGGGGTCTGGCCGAGCTGTGCCAGCGGCTCCTGCGGGGCATTTCCAGCAGGAATCCCTCGCCCGAGGCCGAAACCTGCTGTGCACCTTCCCAGCAGCTGGGTCTGGCTGCTCTGCTCGGCCCTGCAGCCCCGGCCGGCCCCGAGTGCCCTGGGCTGTCCCGGGCTCAGCAGGGCTGCTCTTACACCCCGGGACTTCTGCACTTCCAGCAGCCAGGGGAGGTGTTCCTGTACATATTTTGCAAAATGTTTTGTGCTTATAAGTGACGCGTACACATCTATACATATATGAAAGGGATATATATATATATATGTATAAAATATATATATTTATATATATAAAGGAAAGGATACTTAACTGACACTAGAATTACTGGGCAGTGCATTTTCCTTTCTGATTCCACTGTTTCCATGCACACAACTTTGCCCTCCTCAGAAGTGACATGGCAGAGGGAGCAGAGGGGCTCAGAAACGCCTTAGGGGGGCGGTGGGGAAGCCCCCGGTGCGGAGGGGTCCCTGTGGCTGGGGGTGCTCCCCTGTGCCGGGTTCGGGTCCTGGCTTGGCTCCGGTGCAGCTGCACAGCTGGTGCCGCTGGCCCCGAGTCCTTGTGCGGGGCGAACCGGGACCTTCCCCAGCGGCATCACCTCCACCAGGGGCTGGCAGAGCCCTGTCCCGGGCTGGCAGAGCCCTGTCCCGGCTGGCAGAGCCCTGTGTGCCCCTGTCCCGGGCTGTGTGTCCCTGTCCCGGGCTGGCTCTTCCCTCCAGGAGAGCTCTTGGCACGTACTCGCATCTCCTCGGAACCCCGCAGAGCCAAAGCACAACGCGGAATTGCTTTTTCCGAGGGAAGCAGGGCATCCTAAGCACAAACTCCGTTTCTCCCGAGTTCTGAGGGTTTTCAGGAAGGGCAGGCGGTGTTTCTGCCGCCGAGGGGCCGTGCCTGGCGCTGGCATCGCTCGGCTGTGCCCGGTGCCCCGAGCCCGGGCAGAGCCCGGCGCCGCTGCAGGACCCGCTGCTCCCCTGCCCCGGCCCCAGCATGCTCCCATGCCTCCGTGAATGTAGCACTGCGGCTGTCCTGCTGAGGGAATGCTGGATTTGCAGCAGGGAATGTGAGAGGGTTTGTAGGGCGAAAGTAAATCTTGAAGAAATGTATCTGACAAAGTTTATTTTTGATGTAGAGAGGCAGTGCTTTGTAGTTTCTGGTGACCTATGTTTGTTGTAAATAATGTATATTTAATTTATTGCTATGGTAGCAGATTGTTATGTATAAAACGAGAGGTTCACAAATGTATATTTTGTTGCTTAAATGTGTCTTTGCAAAATTCACAATAAATAACATATTTTGTGTCCATATACGTGCTCTGTGTGTGTGGCAATGTAGTGACAGCTTTAGAGGAGCTTTTTGGGAACTTGCCTTTGAAAACCAGGTGAGGGCACGGAGCTGGGCAGTGGGAACCTGTGATATCAAATACTCCAGCAGGGAATATTGGAGCACAGCGACCTGTAAATGCTGGAATCTCTGCTGGTGCTCCCAGCTCGGGGCTGGAGCAGCGCAGGAGGAGCAGGCAGTCACTCTTCTGCAAGCACTCAGCCATTTGACCAGGAGAGCTGTCCTGTCTGAGCTGAAATTGGTGTCCCATACAGCTGCACACACGGCTCTGCCAGCAGCCAGCCCGTGTGGCAGCCAAGCTGTGCCAGCCGAGCTCCCCTCGGGGCACCAGGCCTCTGGGCACTCCGGGTGAGCGAACCAGGAAACTGCATTTTCTCTCTCCACCTCCTCAGCCTCCTTTCAAACCCATTTTTTTTTTCTTTTAATACTTTATCAAGGTTAGGGAAGAGACTGCCATGGGAGAATCTGAGCAGCTTGGTGTGTGGTCAGTGGGCACACAGCCTGCCTGGTGCCACAGGCAGTTTTACATGGTGCAAACCCGCTGACAGCTCCTCCCCTTCAGAGCAGGGTCAGCCTTGAGAGGTTTAAAAAGTTCAGCCTTAAAATTAAATAGTGTGAGACAGTGTTGACAGATAAACAAGCAGTTCAGACATATGTTTTAAAGGATTTAAAAAAATGTTTTGTAGGCCTGGCAGATGGGCAAGTTGGGAATTAATGGCTGAGTATTCCAGCCAGAATTTGGAAAGTTTCCACAGAATGGGAACTCCTAAGTTTGGTGGGAGGGAGATTCAAATACTGCAGACAGCTGGAAAGCAAACTCAAAACAGGCTGCTCAGCCAGAATTGCTTCACTCACTGTTATAGTTTAACAAGCTGTGAGTGCTGTGGAAACAAGACCCTAAATCCAGGTTTCAGAGGAGTTTGCAGAGAGTCTTTAACTCACTGGGTTCCAGCTTTCCACAGCCTTCACGGGAGTGATTCTGCCAGCAAACTGCAGATGTGACAAACTCCAGGTGTGACCAGAGCCAGAGCTCTGTGGTGCTCCCAGCGTGGCCCTGCAGAGGTGCACAGCCACAGGAGGATGATTTTACTGCCTGAGCTCCTCCTCTGTCTCCAGGGACATTCACTGTGCCACAGGCTGCCCATCCTGGCCACAGAGGGGAGGGATTTGGTCACTCAGTGACAGGAGCAGACGTGAAGACACTGACCCCAATTAAAAGTGGTTGGATGTTCTAAGGCTGCTCCAAATCATCCTGAGAGCTGATCAGATCTGGCAGGGCAGCATGGAGCAGCTATTAGGAAAGATGATGAGACCTTGTCTGTCTCTTTAATGAAAGTCTGGAGGTACCAGATAATCATGATGAATAGTGCTTAGTGGAAAACCTCCTGAATGCAATTAATCAAGTAATCAAGTAATTTTCTAGGCACTGTAGGCAAGTAGAAGGATGAATGAAATCACAGAATGCTTAGGGTTAGGAGGGAAGTTTAAAGATCACCTACTGAGTCCCTGATAAGGGCAGGGAGATCCACTGGGCTCAGGTGCTCAAAGCCTTATCCAGACTGGCCTTGAGCTCTTCCAGGGATGTGGCTCTGCAAAGCTGCTGCTCTGGATCCAGCTTGGACAATGGCTCCGTGCAGCTCAGCCAAGCAAGGCGCCAACTGGTAAAAATCAGGTTTGCTCTCCATATTTTAAATTAGGGACAAGAAAATCCAAATTGTTTGTGTTTTGGGTTTTTTTTAATGCCTGCAAACTCTTGGCACGATATAAAAAAGCTGGATGTTTCCTGCAGTCCCTTGTCTGTGTCTGGATGCAGTCTCCAAGATGAGGTGTGTGTTCCATGGCACAGCCAGGACACTGCAGCCCCACAGCAAGCCCAGGCTGAAAACCTCTGGGAAAGGCTCAGGATGATAAAGAAAAGAAAAACAACTATTTCTGATCACATACTTTAATCATGGTCCCGTGAATTTATTTGACATGAGGTTTTGGTATTTATAGCCAGACTTATGCTTTACTTTTTTATATAATAGTGGATGTTTATTTCTCTCACCCATTACATCCCATCCCAGAAACTGCACAAATTTATGACAAACACAAAGTGAGGCTGATGCACTTTCTTTGTAAATTTAGAAGCTTTTGGCACCTGTGGGTGTCTCTAGCGCACAGCTCAGTCTGCTGTTGAGCTCCTGAAAATGTAAATCCTTCAGTGTTTCATTTCAATAGTGACTGAATTTTTCCACGTGGGCGGGGGAAGAATTTTCCAGTTTCATTCCTCGGAGCTGCTGAGCTCGGAGGTTTCCCCTTCTGTACAGAAGGTGGCACTGGAAGCACAGGAATGAATTGTCATCACCTGCTTGCCCTTACAGAGGGGCTGGTGTGTGGGTAACCCTGCCAGGACACCTGGGGAGGCAGGCGCTCCCTCTCCCAGGCAGCGGGCTCCCGTCTGGCTGAGGTTAATTTCCAGGTGAGCGCAGGTACCACAGAAACATCCCAAATGTCTGAGCCCCAGAGATGAGCCGGGCTCCGGCGGGATTGTCAGAGCCCAGCGCTCGGGATGGAGAGAGGCAGAGCCAGGCACCGGCTGTGGGGGTAACCGGAATAAACACCTGTACCTGCAGGGCTCAGTTTCCCCGTTTAGTCAAGGGTGCAAGCTCCTTTCTTTGCAATGCTGGAGGCGCTGCGGGAGCGCTGAATTCACGCCTGGCAGCAGCTGCTGCTGGGGATGGAGCAGCTGCTGCCGGGGGAAGCTCAGCTGCAAAAGGCGTGTTTGTGTTCACAGGGCTGCTAATGTTTCCTTTACAGCTTTGCCAAATGCAACAGGTTTGAAGAAAGTTTGTCCCAATGGGAAGAAATGAGTTGGGCTTGCTAGAATTCCTTCCCGCGTTGCCTCAAGTCCCGTCTCAGGGGGAGCAGCCGTGACCTTTGCTGCTGGGATGCAGAGGGAAGGTTGCTGAGCAGCTGAGAACTTCAGCAGGGCCAAACACGGGTCTGGCCGAGGCTCAGGAGCTGGCTGCACATCTGGCAGTTCTCTTGCAGCCAGTGCCACGGTCTTTAATTTCCGTGCTGTTTCTGGCTCTGTTTCTTGTGTCCAGCAGGAGAGGAAAGTTAGGAATGGAAAACTGACAGATCTGTGTCTGTGCATGCCTGGCACTGAGGCCTGCCAGAGAAGCTGTTGGCTCTGTGGAGCTCTGCAGGACTGCACTCCACCCTCTGATCCTTCTCCTCGGATCCCTCCCCACTGTGCACCTTCCCCCTTCCAATCTCCACCAAGCTCTTTCTGCCAGGGGTCCCCACACCTCCTGACTGCTACTGCAGCTTCTTCCTGCACCCCCAAGGCCATTCCCCTCTGTTGCCCGAGGTCAGAAGCTGGCTGCAATCTGGAGTGCAGAAATGGCCACTTGGGCCACTCTAATCGTGCCTCCAGCCGTCTGACAGGGACTGTGGTGCTCTGCTTCTCTCTGGTGCTTTGCCTGGATTTTGTGTGCAGAAGTAGGGGCTGGGCTG